AAGAAAAGAAAGAGAAGAGATAGAGAGAAATATTAAAAAAAAAAAGGAACACACTATCAAAATAGGATTCTCCCCCCACCCACCCCACCCCCCACCCCCACCCCCCATCCACAGAGAAGGGGATAGAGAGCAAAGTGGCTGCGAGGGAGGGGGAGGGAGGGGGGAGAAGGAGGAGGAGGGTGGAGAAGGGTGTCGGAGATAGGCCTACACTCCCTTACACCCGTAAAACACACGAGGGACGCCACAAACGACCGCAAAGACACACGAAGACGACGCGCAAGGACGGACTCCCCGCCGCGGCCTCGACAAGCAACGCCATCAATCCGGGGGAGGTGTTGCGGGGGGCGGGGGTGGGGGGGGACGAGGGAGGTGGGGAGGGGGAGGGGGAAGGAAAACGGGGGGGGATGGGAAGAGGAGGAGGGAAGTGGTGGGGGAGGGGGAAGAAAATGTTAGGCCACATGGGGAAGGGGGGGGGGAAGGGGAAGGGGAAGTGGTAGGGGAGGGGAAAAGAATGTTACACATGAGGAAGGGAAGGGGAGGGGGAAAAGGAAGGGGAAGTGGGGGGAGGGGAAAGAATGTTAGGCCAATGAGGAAGGGAAGGGAAGGGAAGAGAAAGGGAAAGGGAAGGGGAAGTGGTGGGGAGGGGGAAGATAAAGGCACATGGGGGAGAAGGGGAAGGGGAAGGAGGGGAAATGGAAAGGGAGTGGTGGGGAGGGGAAGAGAATGTTAGGCCACACGGGGAAGGAGAAGGAGAAGGAGAAGGGGAAGTGGTAGGGGAGGGGATAAGGATGGGGATTGCGACGGGATGGCGATAGATGCTACAGGGAGGATGGGGAGGGAGAAAGGGGATGCGAGGAGGTTAGAGAAAGGGGAAAGAGGAGGAGGATAAAGACACGTCACGAATAATGAATGAAGAAGAAAGAGAAACGGACCGAAAGCTAAAGAGAGACAGAAAACATGAGAAAAGACACAAAAAACAGAAGAAGAAGAAGAAGAAGAAACAACCAGAGAGAGAAAAAAACACGGAGAAATAACGAACCAACAGCCCCCCCCCCCCCCCTCATTCCCCCGCGCTGCCCCCGGGGAGTCCCTCTCGCTCCCAACGCGGGGCCGCCAACGCATCCTCGAAGTGCTTAATGCCCCAATCCCTTAGCATAAACGATGCCCTGTGGAGGATCCTTTCTCCCCCCCCCCTCCCCCCTTCCCTATCTCTTTCTTTCTCTCTCCTCTCTCTCTCTCTTTTTCTCTCTATTTCATTTTTCTTTCTTCGTTTCTTCCACTTGATGTCTCCTTCTCTCTCTTATCTTCTGCCATTCCTCCTTCCTCCACTTTCCCTCTTCTCTCCCCTCTTCCCTCTCCCCTTCTCCCTTGCTCTCCCCTCTCCCTCCTCCCCTTCCTCTCCCCTCTCCCATTCCCTCTCCTCTCTCATCCTCTCAATCTCCCTTCTCCCCCCTCTTCCTCCCCCCCCCCTGTTCTCTCCCTCCTCTCAATCGCGCACGCATTCCCAGCGCTAAAACTCCGTATAAAGATCTCTATCGGGGTTATTGCCGCGGGAATTTTCACACGCACTCTCGATCGCGTCTTAAATAGATTGAAATCACCGCCGCTACACCGAGATGCTAATAAACAAGGGGAGAGGGAGGGAGGGAGGGAGGGAGGAGGGGAGAGGAGGGGAAGAAGAGGAAGGAAGGGAGGATCGGAAGGACGGGGAGGAGGAGGGAAGGAGGGAGGAGGGGAGGAGAGGAAAAGGAGGAAGAAGAAAAAGAAGGAGGACGAGAAGATGAAAGGAGGAGGAGTAGCAGGAGAGAGGGAGAAGAAATGAAGAAAAAGGAAGGAAGTACGACGAAAGAAGAAGGAAGGAGGACCGAGAAAAGGAGGAAAAGGCTAGAAAAGGAAAAAAAACTAAACAGAAGAAGAAAGAGAAGAGGAAGCCAGAAAAAAGAACCGTAAGGAAGGGCGAAGGGGAAGGAAGAGAAGGCAGCAAGGATAAAATTCCCCCCCCCGCACCCACCCATACCCCCCCCCCCGTCCTTCCCCGCCCACTCAATACAAGACAAAATATCCGCCAGACTTACAAGGAGAATAACAAAACCCCCTCGTAATGGGAGTCGATCTTGCCGGAGCGCCGATAGGCCCGAATAAGGAACCGCCGCGTCACCCGGCCTTCGACACGACCGAGGGAGACGAACGCTCGCCTCGGGTCGCTGGATCGGCCTCCGTCGGGCGTCCGTCGGCACCGCCCGTAAGCACACACGCGGGGAGGGGGGGGGAGGGGGCACTCTGTACGTGACATGTACACGTATGCGTACACAAGTAAAGATAATAATGGATAAACAATAGTAAAAAAAGTGAGGGAGGGAAAAGGGAGAGGGAGACGAGAGAGAGGAGAGAGAGAGAGAGAGAGAGAGAGAGAGAGAGAGAGAGAGAGAGAGAGGAGAGAGGAGGAGAGAGAGAGAGAGAGAGAGAGAGAGAGAGAGAGAGAGAGAGATGAAAGAGAGAGAGAGAGAGAGTAGTATCCCACCCAGCCCCGTGTTTATGGAGCCGTTTACCACACCCGGCACTCGATCGTTGCCCACGATACAAAAGGGAAAAAAAACAAACAACGAAAAACGAGATTCGAAAGACCCGCCTCAGTGCCGTCCGGAGCAAGCGCGCACGCACACGCACAAGCAATCACGAACACACAGGCAAGCAATCACGAACACACACACACACGCACACACGACTATACGCACATGAAAAAAAAACATTAACCCACACCCCATTAAACTAATACTACATCTATTTTTCATTTAATCCCCCCCAAAAAAAAAAAAAAAAATAAAAATAATAATAATAAAAAAAAAAAAAAAAAATAGATAAAAATGATACCAAGACCAACCAAAAGGAAATGGAAACGAATCTTAAAACAACTTCTTCAAGGACAAGAAAAGGCCATCGCTCTAACAAAGGGGGGGGGGGAGGGGGGGGGAGGGCACGAAAGGTTTATAACGCCGATCACGGGTCTTGAGAGAGAGAGAGAGAGAGAGAGAGAGAGAGAGAGAGAGAGAGAGAGAGAGAGAGAGAGAGAGAGAGAGAGAGAGAGAGAGAGAGAGAGAGAGAGAGAGAGAGAGAGACCTTAGGAAAGGGTCCCAAGAGGAGAGGAGAGAAGAGGACCAGAAAAGGAAAGGAGAGGAGAGGAGAGGGGAAATAAACGTAGAAGTTGAAGAAGAAAAAGAAGAAAATAAAACAAGAAAGAAAGTAAAATGAAGAAGAAGGAGGAGGAGGAGGAGGAGGAGGAGTCCCCCAAGCCCTGCCCCACAGATGCTGGACGCAGATAAGCCCTGGCGACGAGGAGCGACAGCCGAGGATCCTCTCCTCTCCTCCTCCTCGTTCTTCTTCTTCTTCTCTCTTCTTCTTCTTCTTCTTCTTCTTCTTCTTCTTCTTCTCTCCTCCTCCTCTATCTCTCCTCCAGAGGACGTCCTCACTTGCTTCAGACACCCCCTCCTTCCCCTCCTTCCCCCCCCCCCCAACAGCCTCCCCAGAAAGGATCGCGACGAATATTTCAGGATTTGCACTTTGCTAAAAAAAAAAAAAAAAAAAAAAAAAAAAAAAAAAAAGGGTACTTTCGTCAGCGAACATAAGGAGGCCCCGAGTTGAAGGCAGAATTTAAGGTACGAGGAGAGAAGAAGGGGAGAAGAAGAGAAGAGAAGACGAAGGAGGAGGTGAAGAAGAGGAGGAAACGGAAGAGGAGGGGAAGAGAAGTAAATAAGAAAGAAAAGGGAGAACAGGAAATAAGAGAAAGAAAAAACATGAAAGGGAAAAAGAAAAAGGAAAACAAGAACATAAATAAAGAAAGCAAAGAAAGTAAAAAAAAAAAAAAAAACACAAAACGCAATACAGACCCCCTCCCCCCCCAATAAATAAATAAATAAATAAATAAATAAACACTACTTCCTTCCCTGGCTTCCGAGGCCCACTCCGGGCGGGCGTCGGGCAGCACAGCGCCGCGCCCATCGAAGCTCTCTCTCCGCCTCTCGCCCAAGACGGGTCGACGGGCGTTAATCAGGGCTAACGACTTAACAACCGCCTGGCTTGTTCTCGGGCGTAGATCGGGGCGCCACCCACGCTGTGTCCACAAGGCGAGGAGGGGCGGGGGGGCGGGATCGCTGCATTGCGGGTGGATATGGGCGTCGCTTTTGGATGATGGGCGGGGCTGGGCGTATTATTGTCACTTATGGCACTTGCATCTATCTATTCTTGCAATTACCTATTCGATAGATGGTATTTTTACCTCCTTTACCGTAAAACAAACAAATAAGCAAATTGACACACACACACACACACACACACACACACACACACACACACGGCAACGCACACGACGCACACACACGCACACACACACACACACACACACACACACACACACACACACACACACACACACACACACACCACACACACACACACACACACACAACACACACACACACACACACACACTACAATAAGAATAACACCAACAATAATCATGTAAATCAAACCACTCACCAAGAATAAAAGAAAAAAAAAAATAAATAAAAATAATAATAATAACACTGATGACCAAACCCCTTCGCAGCTCCCCACGACCAGCCGGGGACGACGAACCAAGGTCAGACGACGACAAAAAGAGGGAATTAACGACCTCATCCACTCCAAGCAAATGAAGACACGTTGCGGGGGGGGGGGGGGGGGCAGAGAGGACTTACCCCGGGGGAAGGGGGGCTGAGAGGACTTGGACGTGGGGGGGGAGAGGACACAGGACTTACCACGGGAGAAAAGGGGGGGGGGGCTGAGAGGACTTACACGTGGGGGGGGGGAGGGGGAGGACACAGGACTTACCCACGGTGTTAAAAAAAGGGGGAGGGGGGTAGAGGACTTACCACGGGGGGAAAAGGAAAGAAGACTTATCCCCGGTGGCAAAAAAAGGACACAGAGGTCTTACCCACGGGGAAAAAAAAGGACACAGGACCTACCTTGGTGGTGGTGAGCACGAAGAGGTGCGTCCCGGAGGCGTCCATGACCAGGTCGGGCAGGACGCGGCTCCCGGCGTCGATCACGTCCTCGCCGTACTCCGCGGCGTCCTCGGGGCCCGCCAGCAGCGCCTGCGGCAGGAGAAAATACCATTAGAGACATGCGGGAGGAAGGAAAAAGCATTAACGCAAAACCTTATAATAGTTATAATAGGGGGTAGAACATTCGACGAAAAAACTTAAAATACTTTTTTTGGGGGGAGGGGGTAGAAAAATCGACGTAAAACCTTTTAAATACGCCCTTTTTCATTGGGAGAGGAAGGAGAAAAACGAACGTAAAACCTTAAAAAAATACGTAGATATTCTACAGAACTAAATCCTATCCTTTTGAGTATCTAACCCCACCTCAATCCTATTTCCCCACACCATATAAATTACAAAACCGCCTTAGCACAACCCACCATCTCGAAAAGAAATTAAGAAAGATATACACAGAGAGAGAGAGAGAGAGAGAGAGAGAGAGAGAGAGAGAAGAGAGAGAGAGAGAGAGAGAGAGAGAGAGAGAGAGAGAGAGAGAGAGAAATAAAACGAAAAATGACAAGGCAGGCGAGGCGACGGGCCAAGCGAGCCAGCCAGCCAGCAAGCAAGTGAGCGAGCAAGCAAGTAGGTCCGATGGCGGGGCGGCCCTTCAACAATTACTCCCCCTGGTAATTAAGTCCCACTGCAGCTGCTGCCCTTCCTCGCTCCCATTTATCTTGTTACAGGCGGGATGGCTGACGAAGATGTATGCAGGGGCGAGCAGGGGCTTCAGTCTGCGCGCGGGGCCGGAGGGGAGAGGCGCTCGCTCCCTCTCGCCGCTCCCTTCCTCGGCGAAGTGGCACTCGCGCTCTTCGTCGGCGGCGGCGGAGGGCGGCTCTTGGCAAGCCCGCTCTTCCTCTCCTCCGTTTCATCTGCATTGCTCTCTCTCTCTCTCTCTCTCTCTCTCTCTCTCTCTCTCTCTCTCTCTCTCTCTCTCTCTCTCTCTCTCTCTCTCTCTCTCTCTCTCTCTCTCTCTCTCTCTCCCCTTCGCCAATCGCCGCACACCCACACGCCCAAACCTCCTCCTTAACCCGCCCGTCTGTCCCCTCGTAGATCCTCGCCCCCCTACCCACCCCTCCCTGTAGCTGACGGCCGGGTCCTTCTGTCCTCCTGATTGGCCGTCCCAGCCTGTCAGCGGGCCAGCGCCACGTCAGTCAGGCCTCCCCCCCATCGCCCTCGCTCCTCTGACAAGCCGCTGCCGCCGCCATCATCATCATCATCGCTTCAGGCCACAACTCACACCTGTGCCATGGCCGCGAATTCGGTCCCTGGCCCCCGCTGGCCCTCTCTCGGACGCCTGCCTCCGCGCCGCGAGGGGTGCCAGCGCCGCCCTGCAACAGCTTCCCCGGACCCTTTCCCGGACACTTAAGTCCTAAACGGCATAAAGTCCTGTTCATGAAGGGGAGGAGAGGAGAGGACGAGAGGAGGAGATGGGAGGGGAGGAGGGGAAAGGAGATAGGAAGGGAGGAGAGGAGATGGGATTGGAGGAGATGGAGGAGAGGGAGATGGAAGGGGAGAGAGAGATAGGAGACGCGAGATGATGAAGAGAAAGAGAGGAAAAGGAGAGAGGGGTGGGTGGGGTGTTATAGGAGAATTCTTTTTACAAAAAAGGAAAAAAAAAGGTTGCTCGTTTACATTTAGAAGTCATATACTATTCCACTCCTTTCATATCTCACCATAATTTCACCCTCTAGTTTGTCAGCACCTTAAGGATTTTCTATTTTCCTTTACCAACGTTTTTTATCATATCGCTCTATCAGCTGTCACCCCAGAACACGAAATTCTTTGCAAAAAATAAATACACAAATAAATAATTAAATCAATATAAATCAGTAATCAAATATAGTAAAACAAACAAAACAATAAATATAAAAATGTTAATAAAATCCAAGTGCCATTCTCAGACCAAATAAAACTTCCAATCAAATTACGGTAATTAATCACAATAATACAGCCTCCCGTCGAGATTCCCGAAATCAATAAATAAACAATTAAATTACCCTTAACTACGCTCCCAAAAATTCACTGGAAGTCATTTAATATATAATAAGTTATTCGTACTTTTCAAAATACTCGTAAGCACTCAAGCATCAGCGAAACCCAATTAGTTATAAATAAATAAAGGCTTAATACTGATCGATATTTTCGGAATAATAATGCAGAGATCGTGAATTAAACAAAACTATAGAATCCAGTAGACAGATATAAACAGACCAATAAGCAAATGAACAAACGAATGAGTGAGCAAATCAATAAATAAACAGCAACATAAACAAATACATAAATAAACAGCAACATAAACTAACACATCAATAAACAACAGCGATAAGAAATACACAGAACAGACAGATACATAAACAGACCAACAGATAACCGAATGAATAAATGAATAAACATACAGACGGACAAACAAACAAACAAACAAACAAAAACCGCCCCATAAACCGACAGACAAACAAACAACAAAAATAAAAACCCCTGAAGCCACGTCGGCCAAGAGGAGGGCGCGGCGACTCGGGACGGAGGGCCGCGGGTCGCTGGCGTCGGCGGCCCGGGCAGGTGTTAATAATGCAGGCAGGTGGCCGGCGCCGTGATTGCCGACGCGCACGCTCACCTACGTCGAACGGGTAAGGGTAAAGGGGTAAGGGGGAGGGTGAAGGGGAAAGGAGGGCAGGAATTTCAAATACTCCTTAACTCCCCCTCCCCCCCGTTCTCTTCCCCTTGACCGCCCTCCCTCCCTTCCCCTCCTCAGTTCTCCCCCAATTTTCGACGACTTTTTCATTTCACTGCACCGCCCTTTCACCCCTTCCTCCCTACCTCGCCCCCCCCCCCCCCTCCCTCTCCTCCTCCCTCATTCGTGACGTAGCGGTTATGATGACTGTCCCTCCCGTCCCCCTTCCCTTCCCCCACCGTCCCCTCCCTTTCCCCTCCCCGTTCCCCTCACGCCGCGTTCTCGTCTCTCTCCCCTCCCCTTCGTCCTCAATTAGGAGGCGAGGGGCCGGAGGGAGAGAGGAGGGCGAGGGGAGTGGCCAACAGTGGGGCCGTGCGTGTTCACCCCTCACCTCCCCCTTCCCTCCCCCCCGGCCCCGGCTTCGCCCCCGATCCAAAGGGCGGGGCTTCGACGACCACCCATGAGGGCGAGGGCGGGGGCCTCGTCTCAAACACACACCCAAAGACGAATTGATCAAACGCGCTTTTTATTCTGCTTGCACACGAGTCGTCGAAGGGCGAGCTACACAGACAGGATAAGGGGGGGGGGAGGGTAAGGGGGAGGTATATCGGCGGGAGGGGGGGGGATAGGGGAAGGAGGGGAAGGGGGACAGTGGCGTGAAGGCAGGAAGACTGATCACTTCCCCAGTAACACACAGCAAGCAGAGGGTCGTCCTCTACTCGTCGTCACTCTCTCCCTCCTCAATTTCTCCTATTCCTATTCCTCCTTCCCTCCTCCTCCTCCTTCTCCTTCTTCCTTTCCTCTCCTCTTCTTCTTCTCCTCCTTCTCCTTTCTCTTCTCCTCTCCTTCTCCTTCTCCTTCTCCTTCTCCTTCTCCTCCTTTCTCTAAGTCTCTCCTTCTCCTTCTCCTCTCTCTTCTCCTTCCTCCTCCTCCTCCTTCCTCCTCCTCCTTCTCCTTTGTCGTCTTCTATTTTCCTTCTCCTCCCCCACCCTCCCGAACACCCCCACCCCGCACCCACCACCTCCACCCAACCATGAAGCCAACAGCACCAACCTCAAATCTAACAAAAGAATCGACACAAACGTTCTCCAAAGAAACGAGTTTGGAAAAGCAAGAAGAAAAGAAAATACAAAAATATAATAAAGGCCATAAAATCAAAACCTTTTTTATAAGCAAGTGCGACCACCCGACGATGACGACGACCCACAGACCCGCCGCCGCCCACGCCCTCCAGTGCCGCGGGAAGAGAGGCTATCTGTCCAAAAACCCCACATCCTGACGTCCCCTCCCCCCCCTTCCCCTCCCCTCTGCGTGCGGGCGTGCGGGCGTGCGGGCGGGCGAGGACCGAGGTGAGGTTGGCATGGAAACCGATTCGACATGATATCATTGGCGCTCTTGCTCGCGATAATGAAGGTAATGATGGTGATCATAACAGCGGATAGATCGACAATACTGACGACCTAAACCCTCCCCCTCCCCACCTGCCCTTCCCTCTCCCCTCCCTCCTTCCCCGCCCCTCTCCCCTCCCTCCTTCCCTCCCCTTTACCCTCTCCCCTCCTTCCTCCTACCTCTCCCTCCTCCCAAACCCCAACCTCGACTAAACCAGACATCACTCAACATCCCCTACCCCCTACCCCCAACCCAGCCCCTCCCCCACCCCCCCCCCCCCACCCCCAACCCCCAACCCTGTCAAGACAACCATTCCGATCCGTCAAATTTTCTCCCCCAACCCCGCTATCAGGGACACCAAATAACACACTTGTTCTTCAAAGAGGAAATAGGCAAGAGATTAAAAAAAAAATAAAAGACAATAAAAAATAAAAGAAACGTAAGAAATACCTCGACGCGAACGAAGGCGAAAATGAGGGGGTTCTGCGAATGAGATGAACACGAGAGAGAGAGAGAGAGAGAGAGAGAGAGAGAGAGAGAGAGAGAGAGAGAGAGAGAGAGAGAGAGAGAGAGAGAGAGAGAGAGAGAGAGAGAGAGAGAGAGAGAGACAGATAGAGAGAGATAGATTAGAGATAGATAGATAGATAGATAGATAGACAGATAGATAGATAGAGAGAGAGAGAGACAGATAGAAGATAAGAGATATAGAGAGATAGATAGATAGATAGAGACAGATAGATAGAGAGAGAGGAGAGAGAGAGAGAGAGAGAGAGAGAAGAGAGAGAGAGAGAGAGAGAGAGAGAGAGAGAGAGAGAAGAGAGAGAAAGAGATAGATAGATATAGATAGAGAGAGAGAGAGAAACAAAGAGAAAGACAGTAAGAGAGAGCGAGAGACCGCCAAAAGGACAGACAGACGCGACAGACACAGACGCTCGCGACAGACCCTTGGGAGCGCCTCCGAAAATCACAAACGCAATCCTAAATCCTGCAAATC